CGCCGTCGCGACGAAGCGGCCTCCGAGCTGGCGCAGCCTCGAGTGACGGAGCCTCGAGTGACGGGATCCCGCTGGTGCTCAACGAGCATCGAGATGTACATGCGACGGTCGAAACTGTTAAAAGGATCTCGTCGCCCGGATGCAGCAATGCGCGAAGCGAACTTGAAGCAAGGATCGCCGAGTCGGAATTCAATTTCCCTGCGCCGACATGCATGGGTAACAGACGCCGCAGCTTTTGTTCGAACCAGGGTGGACAAGGAGAGAACGCGCAGGAGGATTTGATAGAAGAGCCTGGATTTTTCAAATCAAAGACCTACAGTGGAAGCCATACTCTGAAAAACAGTACTAGCCCCGTAAAAGCAATATTTGAAAGGCGTCAAATCCAGCTGTCGCCGCTCCGTGGCGAGATTTGCCGAAGCAATGTGTCGTCCAACAATCCGTCGCCAGCTTCGTCCGTGTCCAGTGTTACCAGCCAGCGAAGCGAAACCAAGCCTCCTCGCGCCCCATCGCCTCTCGCGAGCCGAAATCCCATCCTCGCTGAGGTAAGCTCCATTTCCAACATTTCTATATCGATTCACACCAGCTCCTTCACAATCGCATTTCCCTATCCTCAGGTCTAACGTTCTTGATTCCTCTTTTCCCTTTGCAGATCGCGGCACTTGACGAAAAATGCTACCATATCGCGGACGTCCAGGCCAGCGCAGCGGCTGTGGCCACGATCGCCACCGCTTCTCGGCCTTCTTCCTCCGAAGGCTCATCCCTTAAATCTAAAGTCCTTTCGACGCTCGCGCAAATCACGCCCCGCAGCCTACGCCGCCTCTCTTCCTCCGGCGCGAAGAAGCTTCAGTCCGCATCTTCCGCCGCCAGTGGTGACGCAAAGGCGGCGATGATGCACAGTGCGTCCGAGTCAGCACAGGACTGGGCTGACGCGGGCAGGCTGTTCATGATGACGGACACACGGATTCGCCATCGGCTGCCCACGAACGTCGCCAGCGGCGTGGGTGTAGAGTTCGGGCAGCAGGGCGCCGCACGGGGGATCACTTGGGCTGATACAGGGTGCGACCAGAACGGCAGTTGCACAGCTGCTGTGCGACCGGGTGCTAAAGTCGCCGCTTCTGACCAATTTCAGCGCTCTCCGTCGTTCACTACGTCGTTTACGACCGAATGGGACGTTCCTTTGTCGTCCAGCATTTGCCGTAGCTGCCACGGCATGAGCAACTGCTGCTCTTGCGAAGTTCAGTGCTCCGCGTCCACGCATTGCGACGCGCCGCAGCCGTCGCAGGGCCCTCGGCGATACAGCCTGTCATCGGCACAGAGGATAGGGATGGAGCAATGCGACGCTGCATTGGCCGCCAGGAGGAAAAGCGTAGATAATGACGACGGCTACATTATGCCTCCCAGGAGCCAGAGGTTTCTGTCTGGGCCCCTGGCACTGCGTGCCATCTTCTAGGGTTTCGCCCCTCGAGACTGCAACTTTTGAGAAAAAAATCGACTGATTACCTCACTGTTGGGAAAAAAAAAAACTCGACTTTGAGAAAGCCTGCATCCAAAACGATATGCAGCGGCGATTTGGGCTTTGCTAAGGGAGGTTGTGTTTTTGGTGGTGTGTGGTTCCTAATTTTCCCTGTTCCCAGTTTTGAGAGTGCTGGTTGCTTCCTGTTTGCTGAGCAAACTGTAATTACTGCCAATTGTTGTACCATACAAGAAAGTGTTGAATCTCCTACCTTACAACAGTCATGTTTAACTCATAACACCCAGTGCGAGCATTCATCGTGGAAATCACCAGGTTTTTTTGGATACTCCCCCACACACAGTTTTATAATGATTTTCTATGTTCTTGAATGGGTCTTTTTCCCAGATTGTAATTTTAATACATATAGAGAAGTACTTGAGAAAAATTTGCCCTTCAAGCTAAAAAATTGTCAACAAAAACCTGAAACCAAATGTAGTCAACTTTTCTTATCAGTGTATGCATGTCTCCTCACAAGTAACGAGCTTCCTTGTGAAGCACTGAGTGGGGACCTTGAAGATGAGCTGTACATGTGGGCGAATGAAAAGTGAAATATGCCTTCCGAGCTCCTTCTTTCTGCACTCTGGGATTGATCGAAATGCCCCATAACCATGACCCAAAAGCGACAATGCTGCGTGCCAGGCGTTTTTCTTCCGTACAGTAACAGTACCGAACCAAATCTGCTCAAAACCCGTTCCACTCTCCTCTTCCCCTACGCTTCACCTCTGGTGATCACGTGCTCACAACGCAGCCAGCCCACTTTCCCGCTTCTCTGGACTGCGTTTCTGCGGCTGTCAGTCATCCATCCCATTCCCTCCTGTCCCGACTCCGAAACATCAGTCAATTCAGCCGGAAACCCAACGTGCCACCAATTTCCCAACCCTCTCACCAAGAACTTGAGTGACTGGTAAGCTTCCCCGCTTCTCTCAACTGTGTTTTCTGTGGTGTGCATTTCAGACCGCTTTTTATTCCACTCACACAGTGACGTGACTGATGCCTCCTATAACTGTACTGGAATGCTAGAGTACAAAATTCGCAACGCGGAAAAAAGGAAGGTGACATGCAGCTCCCGTTCACAAATCACGATGGGACGCGGATTTGATTGAAGGCACACGTGATTGAAATCAAGCAATTAATTTTGCCTCCTAGATTAAAACGCCTCGATGTAAGAAACGCTTAGATCGAGATCAAGCGATTAACTGCTTCAGTTTCCGTTTTTTTTCAAAATAGCTTGCCTCCTCAACCTTCTCGAGACGACAATGCTGCCCTCATCGTTGCGCAGCCGCGAGTACCCTCTCGACTCAGATATAAGTTCGGCGAATGTGACTCCGCATTGCATTCGCAATCACTTCCCGACATGGCTTCAGTTAGCGCCATAGCTCCGCGCAGACTTTCCTTCAGAACCTCCAAAGTCGTAACAGAGACCATCGAAGAGAATGATCCCGTCATAGTAATGCTCCCCGACGGCTCCGTTCGCTTCTTCGACGATTCGTCGGCCCAATCCGGCGAGCATCTAACGGCCCAGACCGTCCTCTCTGAGTATCCTGATACGCACCTCACGTCGGGCGTATCCGTCGTGACACCAACCACCCCTCTCGTCCCAGGTGAAACCTATTTCCTCACGCCGAAGCGCGCTGACCAGCAGGTGACCACCCGCCCGGCGCATTCTCGTCACTGCTCTGTTTCGCGCGAGGGATCGCCGGTACCTCCGCTTTCGCGCGAGGGGTCGCCGGTACTTCCGCTTTCGCGCCTGAGCCTCCGAGCTGGCGGAGCCGCCTCGAGTGACGGGATCCCGTTAGCGCGCAGCGTGCAACGAGATTTACTCGCGACGGCCGAGACTGTTACAAGAATCTCGTCGCCAGGTTGCAGCAAAGTGCGGAGCGAACTTGAAGCGCGTATTGCTGAATCGGAATGGGACGTTGCCTTCAAGTTATCGTCCAGCATTTGCCGGAGCTGCCACGGCATGAGCAACAGCTGCTCGTGCGACGTGCAGTGCGCCGCCTCCACGCATTGCGACTCGCCACAGGCGTCGCTGGCCCCTCGGCGACACAGTCTGTCGTCAGCAGAGAGGATAGGGATGGACAAATGCGACGCTGCATTGGCCGCCAGGAGGAGAAGCTTGGATGGGGATGGGGGGTACGTCATGCCCCCAGCAGCCAGAGGTTCGTGTCTGGGCCCTTGGCAGCGCGCGTCATCTTCTTGAGGCAAACGCACTATTTCGACTGTAAATTTATCTAGCGGGGATAAACCTAGGTGAGGAAAGCTTGGAGGAGGCAAGACAATCTGCAGCAGCGTTTTGGGCGTTTGCCGTGATTGCTAGCGACTAGTGTTTTTGGTAGTTTGGTTTGGTTCCTCATTTTCTCATCTCTCGTTTTTTAATGCTGGTTGCTAGTCAGTTTCCTCAATTGTAAGTACTGTCACTCAATTGTACCATACAAGAAAGAGATCAATCACCAAATTCCTCGCTTTTCCTTCAATGCCTACTGATCTGTTTAGGGTTGCAGTATGTTGCTCTGCTGCAACAAAAACAGGGTCACAACAAATTAGATGTTGTAGGGAACATAGTCCGTGACCACACTGAATTCACTTTCACCCTACAGGACCGTATTCAACACCGTGCTAGCCATTTTTTCTTTACTGCGTCCTTTATTGAATTCAAGTCTCTGAATTCGAACGTGAATCGGAATTTGAGAACAAAATGTCAGGAAAACTGTTTCTCAGGAACCCATTGTCGCCAGTTTTAGAACTAATCAAACCGTAGCAATACGTTTTAAACCGTTATAAACTGTATCGAAGTGAACTCACTTATGCTCTGCAACTCGCATCCATTCCATAACTCACTTCCTTAGTTATAAAGCTACCAGCGGATGAATGATTATCACGGCGCGGACTGCGGCGTGGATGCATGGCGGGTGGGATGGGCCCCACGCCAGCGCGAAAGCAGGTCATGCAGTGACTGCCGATGAGGAACCGTAGGCAATGGCTTGGATGACGAAGTTTTGGAATCTCGGAATTTCTGCCAGGGACACATGGTGATAGGAGAGGATCCTTGAGGTCGTACATGCAGTCTTGGCCTCATATAACGCAACTCATCATGATGTGTGGCGCGCTGATGCCTGCGCAGACGCTGCACGGGCTTGCGGGGACGAGCATGATTAGAATTAGAGGGTCTGTGATGGGAGGCGAGCTCAAGGCGTGGCGAGATGCGTCGCCGCCGCGGACTCACCGAGCGTGAGAATATCAAGCTTTCCTTGCCTTCAATTAAATCCGTTTGGAGGAATTTGAGCAGGAAAGCTACAGCCTACTCTAGGACCTACGGCGGCCCCAGTCAAAAACTAGCTAAGGCGGATTTTCTCTCTCCGAGTAACCGCGTGTGTCTGCGAGCATCATCGCTCTTCCGCCTTTTCTGCCTTCGCCGATCATTGCTCACGAAAATCTCACCCGCGCCGCCACCTTCACCCTAAAACATCAACCAACCTAACCCGCGCCCATGTGTATTCTCCTGCCGTGCGCGGATCCCGCCGCGCCTGGCGTGTGGTGGCGCGACGACGCGCAGTGGCGCCGCTACCCGCCGCACCTCGAGAACGCCGTCCGCGACGCCATCGCGAGGCGGCTGCCGTCGGTCGATCTCGGCACCTTCGTGTCCGACGGGTACCCTAACGGCGCGCGCTATACCGCGGATCTGCGCGCCATGAAGCAGCGGAACGCGCAGAGCGGGTACGCGCGCGAGATCAGGGTGATTGGCGCGGCGCTGCCTGCTCCTGCGCCGTCTCAGGCCTTGGGAATGCCCAACCAGCAGGTAAGGCGAGCCTTGGAGATGCCGAGATTTCTCTAGCTGTCAAATCCCTTGTTGCACGACAACAGAAACAGTACCCGAAATTTCTAGACGTCTTTAATCAAACTCTTCTTACTAGCACGCCTTTCCTCACTCTTGGGATTTCGTGTTTCTCACCTCTGGCAACTTCTTATCTTGCACTGTCAACTCAGGGCCTTCAGCTGCCAGGGGGAGCACCGATGCCGACCATCCACTGGCGAGACAGCCGCAATAACCTCCGCCAGTACGACGCAGCCACGGCCCGAGCCATCTTCCGAGCCGGCGCGCAGGGCTACATGTGCGCACAAACCGCACCAATCATCACTGACGCGTACCCGTTGGGTGTGGTGTATACCATCGATCTGCAGCGCATGGTGCAGCGGAACCCGTTCACGGGGCGGGAGAGGGATGTGGTGGTGCAGTTCCCCCACAACCCTCTTGAGCTGCTCAAGCTGGCTCTGGGGGCCACTGGGCAGGATTGCAAACAGGTGAGGCCCCACGGGTGGAGAAGGGCTGTTACATATATTAAACATACATTTTGTAGAAAGATGTTTTTAACGTCCTTGCCCTACATTCATGGGTTGTTGAATTGCCTTGATGATGCAGCTATTAGGCGCAACACTGGAAGCTTTTTGCTCAGAGGACAATGTGATGAAGATGCTGGCGGGAAAGATTTCGCCGTACCAGATCCTTGCGAAGCGACGGAACCCGAACCTGCAGCTGGGGCAGCCGGTGTTTGACAAGTTTGTGGAGTCCATGGAAGGCATCGCCACTGGCTGCGCCAACCTCAGCCCCAGTAAGTGTCATGTTCGCTTTACCTGCCTGTGGCAAGAATTTGTTTGTATTGAAGGCATCGTATTTCTCACTTTTGTCTCTCTCTCCCTAGCTTCTTGCCAACTTTCCACCAGTTGCCCTCTTTCCTTCCCCTTCCCCCCCACACCCCTCCCCCCCTTTCCCTCATGCTTTCCTAACGCCGTGGTCCTCTTTCCGGATGATTCTTTTTTATAAGCTCCTGCTTTGGTCATGCTTTTCTCCTCTTGATACCCAGGCAATCTGGTCGACGGACAGACCCAAGCAAGCGGTCTGCCACTCCCACTGCAACTTGCATTTCACGGCACCCCGCCAGAAAACATCAACTCGATCTTCAAGGAAGGCATGAGGTCGAGCCAGCATTGGTTTGGCTGCCATGCCAGCATCAGCAGGTCGTATGTCACCCCAAGCCGCTCAGGCCCTGCAGGGCCCGTGTGGAAGCTGATTCTCTTCGTGCTGCTCATGGTGCAAACTGTGATTTCCTCGCGGTCTGATAGTGTGGTGGTGATGACAAGTGCACATCATGAGCTGCCTGTGTATGAGATTACTTTTCAGGGTTAGTCGCAACGAGGGATGTGAAGTGTTGTCGGTTTTCAAGCCAAGATGATTGGCTGTTAGTGGAGATGCATTGCTTGTGTACAGTAGCTTGAGAAGAATTGATAGTGCAAAGTGGGATAGAGTGTGCTAGACTCTTCACTCAACATACCCACAATCTTATAGTGCATTTGTGCACAACGTAGGCTGAGGTCATGCTTGTAAACTGTAGAGTATTCTGCAAATGTGAAGTTCCCTGACGCCTCCTGGCTCGTGCGACTTGTGGTTGCATTGCAGCGAGCTTGTTGGAAAGTTGACCAATCACATACCGTCGATAATTTCGAGGATGGTTATCCTGCAGTGCAGTGATAGACGACTCCGTAGCACTGCGCTTACGGAACCACCCTTGAGACCATCGCATCCTGTCCCAACCCACTCAACCCATCCCATCCTCCCACATTCTCCTACACCACCCCCACTCGGGTCAGGCAAAATGCCTGCCAGTGCCACTGCAGTGCAACCCAAATGCTCCAGTCCTTGCTCCCCGAGTCTGGATTTTGGATCCAAGTTTGTCCACCTTGAAAACTCCTCGACCTACTCTCGATCTCCCCGAGGCTTCTCCCTCCATTGCACTCCAGAAGAGCACTTGAACATCAGGTGGACAGTACACTTGCAGTCCTCTCCACTCCTCTCCGGATCTAGCGTTTTCCCTCATCCGGTGCAGAGGCTGATTCGCTATAGCTGCATCTGTGAGCGGTCGCTTCCGAGGGCAGTAGCGGCCCGTCCAACTCAATCCAGTCCAAGTCACCGCCGGTGTATCTCTCTGTCGCCGAAGCGTTTGAAACCAACTGAAGACTCCATTTCGGGTTGTTGATCAGAACACAAAAATGGTATTTCAAAGCTTCGGCGGCCATGACATTCCGGGAAGCGATCTCTCCGTCGCAGCAGCTGCCACGTCTGCCGTCGCCTCCCTCTTCTTCGCCGCCTGCGACGTCGCGGCCCGCTTGCAAACAAATAACTCCCTCGCGTGCGACAGACTGAGCGACGCTTCTGTGGACCACACCACTGGATCGCCGGAACTAAACGCCGGGACACACGATTGTAACGCGTCGCCGATGGAAATTATTCCACTAACGGGATCTGGAAACGCGTGCATTCAACTGGGGCTCAGCGTTGGGGGAGCAAGTGCGAGCTTCTATCAGCGGCTCGGATCCGGAACCGGCCGGCTCGTCGCTGCGGCTGTAGCAGCGTCGAATCGCGCCGCAGGCCCGCTTGTCGCGTCGCACATAGCCCACCGCGTCGTCTGGCTACAGCCGGCGAAAGTCCTGCTACAGCCGTCCGCTGCGGCTGTCACGCCGGCAGTCGTCGGCCCAGCGGGGCCAGGATTGGGTGCGCTGCCCGTTGGAGTCGCACGGCTGCCGATCGCCGTGCGACAGTCTGCGATTGGCGGACTTTTGTCGCTTAGCGCAGTGGCGTTAGGAGCACTGGGGTGGGCGAGGGCGTGCTCGGCGGAAGATGAGCGCAGCGGAGCGCGGGCGGGGGAGCAGGAGGACGGTTCACCGGAGGCTTCCGCGGTGCTGGGTCAAAGCGTGGGGGAGGATGAAGCGGAAGCGGTAATTTCGCGAGTGGCGTCTGTGGCGGATGGGCGGAAGCGGCCCCGTGAGACGGATGGCGGCAGGTGGGTTGAAACAGCGTCGTGCCGGAAGGTAGGAATGAAGCAGCATGATGCGTCTCCGTCCCCCTTCTCCCACCCACTTCCCCCCTCACTTCTCCTTCCCCCCCCCCCCTTCCCATTTTCTCCTCCTGTAAACACCTCCATTTCCAATTATGCTGTCCCTTCCCTTTGCGACTCCGTTCTCCTTTCCTGCCCCCTTTCCCCTTTTCCCCCTCAAACTCCTCCGCCTCCACCTTTATTTACGTCCCCCCTCCTCTTTACGCCTCTGTTTTCCTTTCCTTCCCCTCCTCCTCCCCCTCCCCCTCCCCCTCCCCCTCCACCTCCCCCTCCCCCTCCCCCTCCCCCTCCCCCTCCCCCTCCCCCTCCCCCTCCCCCTCCCCCTCCCCCTCCCCCTCCCCCTCCCCCTCCCTCCCCTCCGCCGCTCCCTCCCCTTTCTCCACCCATCCCTCCCCGTCCCTCTGCGCCTCTTCCCCCGCAGTGTGCCGCACGCGTGCGTGGCAACGGCGAGTGTTGGCGCGGAGAGAGGCGTGGTGGTGGAGCCAAAGACGAAGCACTCCTTATTCTTACATTTTTCCCCACACCCCCCTCCGCTCTCCCTCCCCCCGCCCCCTATCTCCCTCCACTTTCCGCTTCCTCCCTACGCCACGCTTCCCCTTTGTACCTCTCTGCCCGGCAGTGTGCCGCAAGCGTGCGTGGCGACGGCGAGTGTGGGCGCGGAGAGGGGAGTGGTGGTGGAGCCAAAGACGAAGCACTCCTTCCCTGTCATGCTGCGGCAGGAGGGGCAGGGCGGCGGGGTGAGTGTGGTGCTGAGGGGCAAGAGGGTGGTGCTGAGGGGCAAGAGGGTGGTGCTGAGGGGCAAGAGGGTGGTGCTGAGGGGCAAGAGGGTGGTGCTGAGGGGCAAGAGGGACAGGGGGGCGGGGTGCGCGTGGTGCTGAGGGGCTGGAGGGGCAGGGAGTGGTGGTGAGTGAACAGAAAAGTGGTGAGCCATGTATCTTCGCCCGTCCTCACCCCAAGCCCATCCCCATCCCATCCAATTTCCGTCTCCATCCCCATCCCCGTCCCCATCCCCAACCCCATCCCGATTCCCCTCCCCGTCCCCATCCCCAACTCCATCCCGATTCCCATCCCCATCCCCGTCTCCATCTCCATCCCCATCCACCCGTCTCACTCACATCCAATTCCCGTCTCCCATCCCCATCCCCATCCCCATCCCCATCCCCATCCCCATCCCCATCCCCATCCCCATCGCCATTCCCGTCCCCGTTCCCAATCCGAATTCCCTTCATCAGCTGCTGGCAGGGGTGGGCATCAGAGACACGGTCCTCGTGACAATCAATTGACTTCTGAGCGACTCTTAAATCCATTTCCATTGTCACGCTCCGTCCTCATCCCCGTCCTGTTCTGATTCCCAGCTGCTGGCAGGGGTGGGCATCAGAGACACGGTCATTGCGAGGATCAAATCCATCAAGATATATGCCTTCGGCCTCTGTAAGCGGATTGGGTAGAAGGAGTCACTAGAGGAGTTCATATGTGCTGCACACGCTGGTGGAAAATAGTGAACTTGCTTCTCATGAATGCTGTATGGTTCCATTCTATGTTTTTGTTGTCTTGTTTTATCTTTCTTTCTTTCTTTTGCTGAATCGTCTAAACTCCCTGCCTACTACTTGTTTCCTTTTATTCACACGGAGCTACCCCTTTCTCTCTTCTTCTCTCCTCATAAGCATTCCCCTCTGTCCCCTCTTCCCCACCCCCCCCTCCCCATCCCACCCCATCCCATCCCACCCCATCCCACCCCATCTCTCTCGCCCCCTTCCACCTCCGTCTCTGTGCAGACGTGAGTCCGGCCAGCCTGGGCGGCGACGAGCATTTGAAGGCCAAGTATGGCGCCATGCCTCTGGACGAGCTGCGAGTCAGCCAGGAGTTTTACGACGACCTGCTCAGGTGAAAACAACAGACGCACACGCTCAGGTGAATTCGACTTATGCCTGGTTCTTCTAGTGCCCCTCACGCTTGGGATGCTGTTTGCGTTTGTTTTCTTTCCCTCTGTTTCCAATCTCCTCCCTACCGTTCCCCACTCCCCCCCTCTCCACCCCTCTCATTCCCATCCCCACCGATTTTATCCCTTCCTCATTGCCTCTCTACGCTCTCATTCCGCCCCTCCCTTGTTCCGCCCCTCCCTTGTTCCACCCCTCCCTTGTTCCGCCCCTCCCTTGTTCCGCCCCTCCCTTGTTCCGCCCCTCCCTTGTTCCGCCCCTCCCTTGTTCCGCCCCTCCCTTGTTCCACCCCTCCCTTGTTCCACCCCTCCCTTGTTCCACCCCTCCCTTGTTCCGCCCCTCCCTTGTTCCGCCCCTTCCTTGTTCCGCCCCTCGTTCTGCCCCTCCCTCGCCCCGCTCCCCCTTTGCCCCACCTCTCCCTTGGTCGCCTTGTCAGTCGTGATATTGGAATGACAGTGCGGCTGGTGCTGCATTACAGAGGGCTCAACATGAAGATGGTGCGCAAGTGAGTGTGCTGGGTCAACCAGAGGCAATGCTAATAATTTCGAGTCAATGTGAGTCAATGCAAGTCTAGGCCAGGCAGAGCAAGAGGGCTCAACGTGAAGATGGTGCGCAAGTGAGTGCAACGAGTCAACCAGAGTCAATGGCAGTCAATGCGAGTCAGACAAACACTCGGTTAGAAGTTAGAACTATGGAGATGCACCTGGTGCTGCACAACAGAGGGCTCAATAGCGCAAGATGAGATTCAACACATCAACTGCCCTGGGTCAACGATATTCAATACGAGTCAAGGCAAGTTGATGGCATGCTCTCCTGTTCTTTTGAGCTCGTTGCTGCCATTCAGACTGCTTCCTGCGCACGCATGCTCGCAAAGCAACCATCTAGTTTGTTATCTCGTCCTCACCCCCAATTTCCTCTCTTCTCTCCACTCCTCTCAACCCGCCCCCACATGTTCTGCTCTGCTCCCTCCCACCCAGTGCGCTCAACACATCCCTCTCCAATCGCCTCACTAAGGTGTGCTTTGACCTTAGTGAGGCCAATCATCTCGCTGGCTTTGCTCCCATCTCTGGCCTCTTGTAACAAGGGTTTTATAGGATAGAATATAAAACACCCTGCCCATAGGAAAGGATTTGGCCCTCCTCGTGTAGTGGCTCCTGCACTTGTCCCTTACAGCGCACCAGTTTAAAATGCTCACCAACAGCACTCCCAGCACTCGTAGCTCTCAGCTACACAGAATGGAAGGCCCTTTTCTCCCCCTCTGACCCCTCAGCCTCTTTCCTACCCATGCCCACGTCTCCCCCTCTGTCATGTACTCCCTCTCAGCTACTGGGCCACGCAGACGACCCGGGCTTCCACACTCTCAACGAGTACCTCTCTTAGCCGCACCAAGTCAAGCGGGTCAGTGCTCCCTGCTCCCTGCTCCCTGCTCCCTGCTCCCTGCTCCCTGCTCCCTGCTCCCTGCTCCCTGCTCTCTGCTCCCTGCTCCCTGCTCCCTGCTCCCTGCTCCCTGCTCCCTGCTCCCTGCTCCCTGCTCCCTGCTCCCTGCTCCCTGCTCTCTGCTCTCTGCTCTCTGCTCTCTTCTCTCAGTGCAACTCTCCTCTGTCGTCCTCACCATTGACCTCAGAGCACCACCATCGACTTCTGAAATGCCATAGAACTCACTTCCTCTCGCCCCTGTGTAACCCTCTTTTGCCATAGAACTCACTTCCTCACTTAGTGTGTGAGCCCTTGACGCGCCTAAAAAATCATTCCCCGATCGCCTCTGTGCATTCCTCCCCTGTGCCTAGAAAATCATTCCCCAATCGCCCATTGACCTCAGAGCACCACCATCGACTTCACCTGGCAGCCCGGAGGATTGCTCACCACTTTGCACCCCTGTGTAATCCTCCACTGTCTCTTGTCACCCATTGACCTCAGGGCACCACCATCGACTTTACCTGGCAGCCCGGAGGAACACTTCTCACTGAGAGTGAGTGCATTGAAATCACTTTGGATGGAGTGTGTGTGAGGGGGGGAGGGGGGAGAGGAGAGGGGGGGGTGTGTCTGGGAAGGGAGTTGGAGGGGGGGGGCGGGTGGGTGGGTGGGTGGGTGGGTGTGGATCCCATTGTCAGTGCTCCTCTCTGCTATCAACCTGCTTTACTCACTTATGTCCTCTCCCGCCCTCCCCTCTCCATCTCTCGTCTCTCCCTTCCTCACCCTCCTTCCGCTTCAGTTGACGGCAGGTGCATGGATCCCATTGTCTGCACTCCTCTATGTAGTGAGCCCACTTAACTCGTCCCAGCCCTCTCCCTTCCTCCCCCCTCCTCTCTTGCCTCTCCCTTACCCAACCCCATTTCCCCTCCAGTTGACGGCAGGCGCATGGACCCAATAGTTAGCGCTCCTCTATGCAGTGAGTCTCGTTCACCCCCTAAACTGTGCAGATTGACTCCTGCCGCTGCTTGCTGAGTTGTCAAAACATGGTAATGCTTGCTTGTTGACTTTCTATAACCTGCGGGCGTACCCTTATATCTTGCCAGCCATCTTTTTTATGATTCTTTATTAGTTTTCAGCTACTCATTTACTGTCCTTTACTCAACTCCGTTTCCGTTCTGTACACCACGTCGACCAGGAGCCTTCTTTGATTTGTACATTGGCCACCCGCCTGTGTGCGAGAAAGCCAAGCAGAGGATTGGGGAGAACATAGGACGGATGATTGCCACGTGCTGACATGAGCTTCGTCAAAGTGTTCAGGTCCCGGTTGGTTCCCAACAGCGCAATCGCTGGTTTGATTGTACAAATTTACACTGATTCGGGATTGGTACGATGTTATACCGAAGTTTGAGAAGAGCTACACTGTAAATAAAAGAGCTGCGGCCACTCGCTGTGGTGTGTAGTGTTTTATGATCTCATCACCGCCTCTCGCACACGTAGATCTCTCTCAACACAATGCACACTAGCTGTGGCGTAGAACTCAGTTACGTCTATGGATATGATGCATGTTATGGTGTATTCCATCCTTCCAAAAATGCAAAAAGCACAATAGCGTGTAAGGTGGCATGGCATGCTTCAAAACCACAGGGGCCATAGGGGCCATCCTGTCAGTCAGCTCACCGACCATTGGACCATTCTGTCGTATTTACGGGCCAGAATCTGCATCATTTCCGGTTTGTACGGAGCGGTGGGCATTGGATGTTGGCGCATTCGGTACAGTACATACGGTCTACAGCATAGACTGTGCACTCTGCCAAGCATACAGCAGAACATTCATCCCTCTGTCAACTTTTGTAGGGTTCCAGAAACAACTTCGATCCGATGCTAGCCGAGGCGCAGAGCAACATGTTGTGTGGGTGATGTCCTCCGATTGGGAGGGATCCATGTGTATGGTAGTCTGGGTTGTCGCTATACGCAAATTACGACCAGCACAGAGAAGAAAGTTCGTTCAAATTACACCTAACCACCGCAATTTTCAAGGGGAAACCCAGCCCACTAATGTCGCGTTTCAAAGTTACCCTGCACGTTTTCGACTATTTCAGTTCGACACTTAGATGACTGGGGCTATGAATGACGCTTAATGCTCGAAGTTTAAACTCATTATGCGAATCTGAATTCATAGCGCCTCTTCTACAGTACTCTCTTTGGGGATCTGGAACAGACTCGCAAAAATTTAATGATGCCCCACACAACCCTCGGACAAAGATTTAGAAAGGGTGCATACCCCACTTGTGCAAGTGGGGTTGAAAAAAGACCGAAAGAAAATAGCAGTGGTTAGGTGTACGAGCTGGTTTGGTTGGTCCCTTCTCGTGTCGCATTTCTTGGTGCAACTTCTCGCTGGCATAGAATTGGGCACGACACGAGAGAAGATTGGAAAAGCCTGTCAAATCGTCTGATTTTTTGCAAATGTTTGTCAAGCCTGTCAAATGTTTGAGAGGAGATTTGAATGCCCGCTCGCAACAAGCTGCAGCCTGCGAAGAAAGCGAGAGGTCATGATGGAAGGTTGAAATGAAAGGTTGAGGATCGCTATTTCTGCTGAGCCATGCTAGGCGAGGACTGACACATAATCAAATGGGGTAAATGGGGGGGGAGGGGGGGGGGGGGGGGGGTACTGTAATTGGGGTGCGGGATGGGGTGTCTTGACTGGGTGCTTTGATTGGGTCCTTGATGGGGCTTTTTATGGGTGTTGCGTTTAGGATTTTTTGGCAGTTTTACTTTCCTTCTCCCTTTCCTTCCACATCCCTTCTCCTTCATTTAGGACGTGGCCCAGACCGCCTTTGATTGCCTCGATCAGAGGCGATCAATAACTTCCAGGAAGCCCCTATGCCGATTTCAGGCAATCAGGGGCAATCAACTGATCGCGATCAATTAATCGCCCCAACTCAATCAACCGCCTCAAACACCCCAATCAATCACGATCACACACAATCAGTCACGATCAGTTGATTGCATGGGATGGGGATCCTTGCGACGCTTGCGAAACAGGTTACAGTTTCTCGTTGAGATCGGCACACAATCGCGCAAACATTATCTTAAGTGTAATTTGCGATATTACGTGGAAACAGAAAATTCGCAACGTCTTCGTACTCGCCAAAATTGGGACGAAAGAATCAGGAAATGCTGACACGCTTGCGAGGCAGGCGCCTTGAGTTTTCCAGGAATATCAGCATTGATCGGGCGGCGCGAGCAATGCAATCAGAAGCAACCCGATCAGATCCAACCCGATCAGATCAGCGCCGATCAGAGGCGGTCTGGGCCACGTCCTTATGTCTCTCATTCCCTTTTTCCTCTTTCTGTCTAGGATCATGTGATGTACGCTTATATATTGCTTTGATTCAGAACAAAAAAAGGGGTAAATCGACTCTGCAGCCATTCTCGGGCGGTGCGCCGGAATGATTGGGATTCAAACAAAATCACCGACTTTTGAAAAGTCCTTGCTTGGTTTTTGGAGTCTGCTGAAGTATATGTTCGCGGTTTTTAGGGAAAGCCCATGGTGTGTCTCGCAGTTCATATGCGGAGTTCAACGTTTCCCCCAAATTCATGGTTTTAAGGGGAGAACCACGGTGTGCTTTTCAAAATGAGGGGAAGTTGCGGCTACAGATGGTGGAACACACTCCCGCCGAGCCAGCCCATGGGCAAAAGGCACCAGCTGGATCATCCTGGCGTATTCCGTTTCGGCTTGCTGTTGTTCCCCAATACACTGCTGTTGTCTGGTCTGGAGCAGGTGCGGTTGGTCAGAAGTGGGAAGGGACCAGTCAGTTTTAGCAGATCGAATTCATCCTTGCGCCCTCGTGTTTCCAGCCTGTCACGCGGTTTTCGCGGTCGCTGGAGCAACAGTCCAGCGAAATGAAGTCATGATCGTACAATACCCTTTTAACTCCTTTCCCTCTCACTCTTCTCCTTTCACAGCAGGATTTCTCTCAAGAGCTAGAGGGCACCTAGAATTAGTGCCACACTGGCAACACCGCATTGGCACCTCAAGTAAAAACTTCTGAAATCGAAGCTCCACCGCACCTAGTCATGACCACAATCGGAGCCATGGCTGCGCGATTTTCCAGCAAGCCACGAGTCAGCCTGACGAACTCCGTCGAGCAGGAGTCCGTCATCGTCATGCTCCTTGACGGATCCATCCGTCTCTTTGACAAGCCGGCAGACTCTAGTGAGCAACCAACAGCCCAGACCGTACTCTCCGAGTATCCCCACATGAACCTCTCATCGCTCGAAGCGCTCGTCGCACCCAACACCCCGCTCGTGCCAGGAGAGACCTATTTCCTCACGCCGAAGCGTGCACCATCCGCGGCGCGCCCGCCCTTGACGCCCCCTTCGAGAGACGGTTCCCATGCGTCCCGCTCTCGCGGCGTGTCGCCTCATCTCCCCCCTCGAAGCCCCCACGGCGCCGCAAGCGACGGTCAGATTCCACTCATGCGAGACGGCCCGTTTCAGCGAGATTCGAATGAGTCGTTTCATCATCGCGATACTCTCGGCGGCGCCGTGGCCACGTTGGAAATACCGACGCGGGCGTCGTCGCCGGGTTGCTCCAGCGCGCGCAGCGAGGAGAGCATCGATTTCAGCTTCGTCACACGTGAATGCTTCGGCTCGGGCCGACACAACAGCTTTGGTTCGGGCCGACACAACAGCTTTGGTTCGGGCCGAGGCGGAGAGGATGAGAACGAGTTCGAGGAAGACGATAGTGATCAGCCCGCGTTATACAAATCCAAGACTTACAGCGGGAGCCGTAATCTGAATGGCAGCGGTCGTCCTCAAGCGGATTACGCGACGAAGCATAATATCGAGTTGTCGCCACATTGTGGCGAGGTTCGTCACAGCAGAACGCCGTCCATCTTCCCTTCGCCAACGTCGTCCGTGTCGAGTGTTACCAGCCAACGCGAGCACAGGCTCCCTCCGCGACCATCGTCCACCACAGCGGCCAATCCTTTCCTCGCCGAGGTAAGCCCGTGTCACGTGAATTTAGTGCCTCCCGTTTGAACCCTACATTATAGAATTCTTTTCCATGCCGTTTCCTCGCTCGGATCTAACGTCACGGTGTGATTCTGCTTTGTTTATCCTCCGTTTTTTTCAGATCGCTGCCCTTGACGAAGACGACTACAGCGCGGATTCTGCGAGGGCAACCTCATCAGTTCCGAGTCGCGCGCCTCCCTTGTCGTCTCAGTCCGAAGGGTCGTCTCTTAAAGCGAAGGTCCTCGCGACGCTCGCGCACTTCAAGCCGCGGAGCCTGCGGCGCCTCACCTCCCCCGGCAAGAAGGCTGCCTTTCCCGCGACCCATTCCTCATGTGGGCCGAGTTTAGAGCGCGATAACGTCACGGCCGAGATCGGATTCTGCGAGTCTGAGTCAGCGCAGGACTGGGCTGACCTGGACAGCAAGCTGTACATGATGACTGACACGCGGATTGGACACCGGCAGTCGCGTAACGCCATCAACGGCGCACGTGCGCATGCGGGATTTGCGCAAAACTTTGACGGGGTCGCGTGGGAGGCTCCTTCCCAAATCACCTGGGTTGACGACTCGAGTCGCGGGAATTCTCGTCAGTTTCAACGCACCGCGTCGCCTTCACCTGATTTTGGTGCTCAGTTCTCTTCGAAAATCTGCCGGAGTTGCAACGGCATGAGTAGCTGCTGCTCCTGCGAATCGCAACCCGTCGCCGAGTGTAACGTGCGACGAGGCTACGCGTCGCAGGGTTCCTCGCGGCAACAGAGCCCTGCGATGATGCAGAGACCAGGAGAGGATTTTGTCCATGACCGCAGACATGTGAGGAGTAACGAGGTGGACTGTAACGAGTACATTATGCCGCCGATGAACCAGAGATTCCTGTCTGGGCCCATCGCGCATCGCGCAGCAATCTTCTAGAGTGTCATGCTGACTGAAACCCTAACTTCGTCTCCTTACCTTACCCTGCCTCTGTCTAGTTTAGGATCAAGGGGTGGGTGGGTGAATGCGTTTTGGGGCTTCGCGGGCTTCCTCTCTAGGCATTGACAAATTTTCGTGCTTGTTTTTGTCTGGTGTTCGTGTGAAAACTAATCTTGAGTGAGGTGATCACATATAACATTAAATTTGTTCATTTGAAATCCTGCATACAGTTGAAGGCGTTGCTGCTGCTCTTTTGCACTACCAATACTGTGAAACATTACTGGCAAATTTCAATATTGCAGGACCTGAATCAGCCGAGCTGATCGTAGTTTCAGAGACTATACATGGGATGACAAAATATAACTGCACAGTAATATCATTGGGGCCATGATGACTATACAGGGAGTTGCACAGCAGCCACAGCAGAGGCATCACTGACACTGCAATCCATGATGTGACTATACAGAGGCCCAGAAGGCGAGAGCAAATGTGACTTCCAGCAGGTACGTGAAGGGTGATTGCACTGAGTGGCAGGCAGAGGGGGGGTATGAGCAAGACAAGGCCAGGGCAGGGCCCGTGCGCGCAAGTGGCTGGGCTGGGTGGTGTGATGTGATGTGAGCGATGCCGCTGAGAGGTCTAGAGCAACCCACCGGTGGGGTGGTGGAGGGATTATTAAGTGCGAGTGTGAGCACAGCGGAGCCGTAGCTGACACTAGGTAGCGCATGGAGTGGCAGTGGCTGGAGTGGGTGGCGCGATAAGAGCGATGCTGCACCCTCCTTCTGGACTGGATGGTGCCATGTGAGAGATGCTGGCGGACGCTCAGAGCAACAACCCCTTAGGTGGAGGCGGGGGGGAGTGTGAGCACGGCAGAGGCATAGCTGACGCTAGAGTCGCGCATGGAGTGGCAGTGGCTGGGATGGGTGATGCTGCTGAGAATGCTGGCTGAGGGCCACAACAACCCAACCCCCATTCAGGTGGAGGGTGGCGGAAGTGTGAGCACGGCAGAGGCGTAGCTGACACTAGAGTCGCGCATGGAGTGGCAGTGGCTGGACTGCTCGTACTGTACAAAGCGGATGGAAGGGGGCGAGGGGCACAGCTCCGCCATCTGTGGGGGGCAGAGGAACAGCTCCGCCAGAGGGGGGGAGTGTTGCAGGGGGAGTGTGGAGGGGGGGGTGTGGTGAGGGGAGAGTCGTGAGTGTCCCACATGGAGTGGCAGGGGCTGGATTGCTCGTACTGTACAAAGAGGATGGATGGAGGTGAGGGGCACAGCTCCGCCATCTGTGGGGGTGAAGGGGAGCGATGGGTTGGAGTGAGGGAGCAGGCGGGGACGAATGAAGTTGTGTGAGGTGGGGCGAGGCGGGGCGCATGGAGTGGCAGTGCATGGAGTGGCAGTGCGTGGAGTGGCAGTGCGTGGAGTGGCAGTGCATGGAGTGGCAGTGCGTGGAGTGGCAGTGCGTGGAGTGGCAGTGCGTGGAGTGGCAGTGCGTGGAGTGGCAGTGCATGGAGTGGCAGTGCATGGAGTGGCAGTGCGTGGAGTGGCAGTGCGTGGAGTGGCAGTGCGTGGAGTGGCAGTGCATGGAGTGGCAGTGCGTGGAGTGGCAGTGCGTGGAGTGGCAGTGCATGGAGTGGCAGTGCATGGAGTGGCAGTGCGTGGAGTGGCAGTGCATGGAGTGGCAGTGCGTGGAGTGGCAGTGCGTGGAGTGGCAGTGCGTGGAGTGGCAGTGCGTGGAGTGGCAGTGCATGGAGTGGCAGTGCATGGAGTGGCAGTGCATGGAGTGGCAGTGCGTGGAGTGGCAGTGCATGGAGTGGCAGTGCATGGAGTGGCAGTGCGTGGAGTGGCAGTGCATGGAGTGGCAGTGCATGGAGTGGCAGTGCGTGGAGTCACAGTGCATGGAGTGGCAGTGCATGGAGTGGCAGTGCGTGGAGTGGCAGTGCATGGAGTGGCAGTGCATGGAGTGGCAGTGCGTGGAGTGGCAGTGCGTGGAGTGGCAGTGCATGGAGTGGCAGTGCATGGAGTGGCAGTGCGTGGAGTGGCAGTGCATGGAGTGGCAGTGCGTGGAGTGGCAGTGCGTGGCGTGGAGTGGCAGTGCATGGAGTGGCAGTGCGTGGATTGGCAGTGCATGGAGTGGCAGTGCGTGGAGTGGCAGTGCATGGAGTGGCAGTGCATGGAGTGGCAGTGCATGGAGTGGCAGTGCGTGGAGTGGCAGTGCATGGAGTGGCAGTGCATGGAGTGGCAGTGCGTGGTGTGGCAGTGCATGGAGTGGCAGTGCGTGGAGTGGCAGTGCATGGAGTGCTCATAGAGCAGAAAGCGGATGGATGGAGGCAAAGGGGACAGCTCCACCATCTGTGTGTGCGATGGGTGGGAGTGTGCGAGCGGGCGGGGAGGATTAAAGCCACGATAGGCGGGGCGGGGTGGGGAGCATGGCCTTCAAACACCCTTCCACCCACCCAACACCCTTCCACCCACCCAACACCCTTCCACCCACCCAACACCCTTCCACCCACCCAATACCCTTCCACCCACCCAACACCCTTCCACCCACCCAATACCCTTCCACCCACCCAACACCCTTCCACCCACCCAACACCCTTCCACCCACCCAACACCCTTCCACCCACCCAACACCCTTCCACCCACCCAATACCCTTCCACCCACCCAACACCCTTCCAACCAGTCCAATCCCCCCCTCCCTCTACACCTGCAGCAGCACACCAATGGGGTGCCTCACACACACAGTGGCGCGCTCGATTGAGTCACGGGCAATAGCCCAACACCCTTCGACCCAGGCAAACACCCTTCGACCCAGGCCAACACCCTTCCACCCATCCAATCCCCCCATCCCTCCACACCTGCAGCAGCACACCAATTGGGTGTCTCCCACAAACGGTGTTCCCCGTGCGCTCGATATAGTCACGGAAGGCCTTGGCCCCTCCCCCTTCAATGGCAGCCATGCCCTCGCGGTCCATGGCCTCAATGGCCTTGTGGATGGGGCCGTGTGCCTTGTCATATGGCGTGAACCGGAACCTGAAGGGGGGGTGCACGAGCAAGGAAGAATGTTTCTGTGCGCTCTCAATTCATAGCCTAGACTGGCTTGTGTCCGCTCTCATACAGTCACGACAAGGCTTTTGAGGCGCCTCCAAAGTTGTGTTCGCTCTCATACAGTCATGACAAGGCTTTGCCTTCCTTCCCACCCTGCCATGCTCACTAACGCCCCCCTTCCGTAGCCACCATTCTCTCGCGGCCCATCGCATCTATGGCCTTGTGGATAGGGCGAGACTTGTCATATGGCGTGAAGCGGAACGGAATGTAGATGGCGGTAAAAGGAGAAAACGATTTCTTCACGGGAATGTTTGAAGCCGTCTGGCAGAGGAAATATGGTGAGGGAACGGAGGAAGAGTTTAGGGAAAAATGCTACATGCACAACATGTTACGCTGCACCACAGACCTATACACTGCACAAAAACCATGCAGAACTGCATGGAACCGCACAGGACCATGCCATAGACGCACCTGGAGCCCCAGTGGCAGAAGTCAGACGAGATTGAGAAGAAGTTGGAGGAATCGGAGAAGTATCTGCGGGGGCAGTGAGGGTGGGTGGTACACAGAAGGGCAGAAATAAGGACGGGTGGAAATGGTGCGAAAGGGTCTTGGGGTTTGGAAGAGGTCAGTCAAAGAGTGAATGACATTGTTAAGGCATAAACAACATAAGATCCCTCTATAAGCTATGTTTTGCCGCTTGTCCGCATTTCAGGCGACTTGAAGTCACAGCTGCGCAAGTGCAGCGGCGGCGTCTGCTGTTGCAGCAAGCACGCTCAGTTGGTCTCACCTGGAGAGAATGCTGCTGGCCTCACCTGGAGAGAATGCTGCCGTATCTGGCCTCTGCTGCTGCATCCAGTGAACCCACCATTATTGGCACCAAAGACACATTGTGACTGTGAAGAGGAGTGAAGAAGGGTTAAAAGGGGTTGGGAGAGAAAAGGGCAGAGAGGGGTTTGGAGTCGTGAGATTGATGAGGAGGGCACTCGCTTATGTCGAAGCTACATGCGAGGAGAAGTCACAACTCAGTAACTCAAATGGACTCATGTCGAGATGGCATTAGCTCGTGTTGATCAGTGTTGTTCACCAGCGTTGACCAGCGTTGACTGGCGTTGACCAGCGTTGACCAGAGTTGACTGGCGTTGACTGACTCACTCTTTGCACATGTGGGCGAGGAAGGGCGCGTGCATCTCGAGCGAGTGCTCTGCCTCGTCCACATGCCGCCCCATCTCCTCAAACTCGCCCGTTGCCCTCAACTCTGCCACCACTGCCAGAGAAGGGGCGGTGGTGAATGGTGAATGGGCGATACAAGGCGGAGGGGGGAAGGTGTGTGTCTGAGTCGAATCGAAACATGCCGTCCGATCTGCTCAAACTCGCCCATTGCAAGGCGCACACACATAATGAATAAATCAGGTTTAATAGTGGTCACATGATGTGCAAAAAAGAGGTAAACACGGGTCACAGAATGGGCAAGTAACGGATAAAGTAGGGGCAGTACCTTCCATGTCGATGGGTAGAGCACCGAGAGGCGTGTGGAAGGAGGTGGAGCGAGGCAGCACACACTTGCGCGTGTAGTGGTGGTGAGATGGGCCCAGGAGGAAGATGCGACGACTGGTGGGCATGGAAGGTAGGGAGAGAAGGGAGAGCGTTTTAAGCAGCGCTTAAGAAAGTGGCCATCTAAATAAATAAACCCACCTGTACTACACTGGTGATGAGACGGGCTCGGCAGAAATATGTGCAGCTGATGGGCGTGAACGGAAGGGAGAGAAGAGAGAGAGAGTTTTCAAGAGCGCATAAGAGGACGGTGTGCAGTGGTGGGACGGACCAGGAAGAAGATAAGACGAGACGGACGGAGAGCATTGATCGGGTTAAGGGAAGGGTAGGGCTAAAGAGGGTTGGGGGTGGGGGGGGGGAGGGGGGGAAGAGGGAACGAGGGTGAGATACAAAGCAAGTTTGGAACATGAGGCAGCAGTAAAAAAGTAGGCGATCGTGTGGGAAGGAGTACTCACATGGACGGAGCATGCATGTGCGCGAAGGCATAGGCCGCACATCTGCCCGAGTAGCGAAAACCAGCATGGCTGGACAGACACACAACAGAATCAGGAACCATGCAAAAACCTTTTTATCAGAATCAGAACAACGAGACAAGGACAGTGAGACGGAAGGAAAACCGGGGAACAGGGGGGAGTCGGAAGCGGCTCAGGTACCGTCAAATGCTTCGCATTGGTCACATGCTATGCCAACCCAGCTCACATCCCATCCCATCCACCACACATGGCGAATCCCCTTTCCCCCATCATCCTTACCTTACCGTTTCCCCAACCTTTCCCACATCCTTTTTCCCAACCCGTTCACCCTTCGTCGTGAGCACCCAACGGTTCTTCATGATGTTGACACCGCGCGGACGCTCGACCAACTCCCACGTCCCGTTGGAGATGAGACTTTTGATATCTTCATCCATGGCAGCTTTCACCGCCGTGCCCTTCCAGCTCGCCAACGCTTCCTTCACTGTCATGTTGGCGATGTCCCAGCGATGCTCTGGGTCAACGTGCATGTCGGGGTCGAGTTCGGGCAGATCATCGTGGTCCTCTGCGTCGTCAAGCAGAGTGCTGTAGGCCGTCGGCGGCAGACAAGCGTGGTAGCTCAGCTTCTCAGGCGGCTTGCCGATGTTGGGGCGGGTAGAACGGCGCGGTTTCTCCTTTTCGACCGCGACCTCTACCACGTCGTCATCTTCGGACTGCTCCCCTTTCTTCCACCCTTTTCCCACCCTCTTCCCAGTCTTTCCCCACGCTTCCCCCACCTTTCCCCCGGGTGACTCACGGGGCAATCACGGCGCGCACGGCGGCGTCAGGCGACACTCCCGAGGCCGCCAGCCACGCCTCCATCTCCTCGCCCAGCTCCTCCGCTATAGTCACATCGGATCACGCATCGCATCAAATCACAACAGATTACATCAATTACATCGCATCGCATCACATCCAATTACCAGGAAACGAAACCTGATTATGCTAAGCAGGGAAACGAGCTTCACATCCGGAACCAAGCAATTTCACGGTTGCTACAGTCACATTCGCTCGTTCAACTCGCAGTAATGACGCACTCCCCGCAGGAATAATGTCAGACTTCGTAAATATCGCATCGCAAGCTATGCTTTCTCAACTTGATACAAGCATATCCTCTACAAGTAAGCTCACCGTCATCGGTGTACCAGCTCCCCGCGTGACTCGCGTGTCTCGCGTATCCCGGCGGTGCCGACTCCTTGGTCTTGCTACTCGCTCGCGTCTTCGTCCCTCCGCCAACTGCGGCCCACATCTTCGCCCGCCGCACAGCCGCGGCAATCTCGCCGCGAGCACGCGATGTAATGTAAAGGCAGGAATGAACGAACGGAGGAGGGAAACGAATATATTCAGAAGTCCCACCCAAAACGATAGGATGGGACAAGGTGGAGCGCGGAATTGTATACTAATTCCTGCCCTTTGATTTCTTGATAATTACTACTCGTATCCTTCGCCTCTTCCGATATAATCTCCCTAGACGAAGCTGGTGAGAACTTGGGGGAAAAAACTGAGTCTCACAAAGCCCAGAATGGTAATTACTACTGTCAGTGAAATGTAAGGAATGCCGGTTCGGATTGTGATGGCTACTTTCGACGGGCTTACAAGCCAGCTCGTTACAGGTCAAGCACCGAATTTCGTTTCGTTCTGTTGACGGAGATACATTTGCGAGATGAGATGAGAGTAAGTTCAGTTAACTTTAGTGCTATGGTTACACGTGGCAAGGGCGCAATTTACTATCATATCTAAATGATTCATCATGTAGGTCATTTTGCATGTTTCTTAATTTTCTGCTGTGTTGCCTAGGCCCTTGCGAGGCCTCCTACTCACTACTAGCCCCTGATGCATTGATGAGTAAGGTGCCCTCATTTCTCTCACTATAGAATAGATTCTGTCATGCCTGTGAGACTCTTAGCACTTATGTTTTGATATATCTGTTCTGTTTAGTCTGGGCCTCCGGATTGTTACATACTATCAAGTTGATGTTTATTGGGCCTGATTGGTTCATCCCTACAAGCACTTAACAGTAACATGTACAGTACTGCTTCTTCTCACAGTGGTTCAGCCAAAGCACTTCCTATTCAGTAGTAGCATACTTGTTCTGACACACAATAGCATGCTCGGACCTTAGCATCTCATGGCAAAGACCTACAGCAGCTTGCTGTCTTCGAGGGCATACAACTTGTTGGCATTCTAGGCTGCACAAGCGGATCCTCGTGTTCCACTCCCGGCGTTGATGGTGCCCGGGACCGCATTGGAAGATAAGCTGGTTCCAATGCTTGAGCTCCCTCCGCTTGCCCTCTCTTCCTTGGCCATACATGGTAGGTTGACCCTGGAATGAGCTGCTTCTTGGGAAACACCTTCCTGAATCCTGACACTGACAAGAATGTCACGAGGTCATGACTAGAGAAGTCAGCAAGCACTTGGCGTGCTGTGATTGGTGAGCCAGTGTGATATGAACGGAGAGTGCCGTCAGGAAGGACGACCAAGATAGGGCCGCTGGGGTCTGAGACGCAGCTATTCAGATTTTCCGAAAAACTGAACGTGTTTATTCCGAAGATTGCGATTTCCAGATTCTCATCCGATGAGCTTCTCCATGAGAACGAGCTCATGCACGCCGCACGCGTCATTGTGACATCCATCCATACTACCAATGGCTGTTCTGCGAGTGCTTGCAGCTCTACTAGATGATAGGGAGGATTAAGAAAAGTTGAGACGACCATCTCTGGTCCACTTATCCCTTGAAACCATCTGTCGCCGTTGGTGCCTACTATTACGCGAGCAGGGAAGTTGCGTGCCTGTATCAAGCTTCCGGAGGTCGAATGCTACAAGGGACTCACTTGTTCGCCGTCGCTTGTAGTATTCGACCTCCAGAAGCTTGCGCACGCGCAGCAACGAACACGTTATGAACCAATGACAGGTTTGGTCACTTGAAATGAGAATTCCGAGAATTTCTATTTGAAATGAATCCAGCCTTCGGCGTGGAGCTAAACAGTAATTCGGCTGTATGTCAAGCTTCGGGCCAAGCTTTCCTTGTGTCACGCCCCTCCAGGGAGGTCTGACACAAATCGTAAATTTTGCCTCCTGCCCGTCAATCCACCTCGTATCAACCAGCCTAGCCCGAAGTTTCACATGGGCCAAGAACGTACCCTAACAGACTGGATTCGCCTTTTCCAAAAACATCGTCGAAACCAGTGCAACGGTGTGAGCCAATGCTGCTGCCTGGGATAAGAAAGTCGGACATCGGGCCCATGCCCCCACTAACCCAATCCAAGCTACGGGCGTGTCTGTCTGGAGTGACCGTCGGCTAACGCTCGAAAGGATGTCGACAAATGTCGTTAGCAGAATCTCTCATAAGTAGAAAAATCCGACGAACGAACTTTGTTAGCTCCGCCACGCTTGTTGCCATTCAGCACGCACAAACAGACACGGACACTAGAAGCAGCGGAAATGGGCATACAGCAGCGGACACAGTGCCAACGCTTCAAATACACATGTTGCTCAACTGCTGCGCGCGAATTTGCCCTGCACGCGCCAGAAAGTCTGCACCCGTGTATTTTGCGCCAGCCAGCTGCACCCACGATACAAGCACCCCGAGCAAGTTGCATTGGCTATGAACCAATAGTAACCACAGAAACCAAAGAATATCTGAAGAGACTGAAGTCAAAAATTCAACGGAGAGCTACAATTTTTTTATAAGCCCTTTTTTGCTAGGTGCGACGTTGACGAAATTTGCGAAATGACTAGAATCACTTAAAAGCCCCCTTTACAAGGCAACCTTGGGTTAGTCAAACGAGCATCATGTGTAGTAGATTGTGAAGGCTAGACACAAGCGAGATTCAAGTTCGATCGCAAGTTCGCGCAGGGCGACAAGACGAGGCCTTGCATTGCACGAAATGAGTGGTCATGAACGAGGAACTCGGATTTCAATCGCCATCAGGTTGGTGAGAGGGAGATAGGCAGCTTGACGAGGGGATGCAAAAAGGAACAGTATATCAATGAAGTTACACCCTTTTCTCGCTAATTTCACACCCTCGAATCCCGAACCGCGCAAAAAATTGCCTGGGAGGGTGTGAAATTATCCGGGCAAAAAAAAGTTCCCAATAATTTCACACACGAGGCGCGAATTTGTTGTGCTGACTGGGCCTCGAAATGCAGGAACAGCTTGACGAACTGAGGACTTTGTGCTGACAAGGACTAGAGTTGAAAATGGATGACTGATTCTCCGAATTTTTAACCCCAATGAAAGATGAGCACGTCGAGTTGCTTATCTCAATTCGGACCAGTCAGAATCGACTAAAATCCCTGTCGAAACTTAGAGTCAGATTCCTCGTTCTTCATGGGTCCTCAGGCTGGTTACTGGTGTGAACTCTACACCCTATTCATTGATTCGAGCATTGTATAATGACACGCAGAATGAAACTACGTTACTTACTACTAAACAAGACGCGACCTAGGTTGAACCCAGCAACCCCGTTCCACCCCACTTCTCGGAGTATAAAAGGCCCTCATTCTCGCATTTCCATTCAGTGATGTTCAACCATGCTTCGCCAGCTTGGCAGCCCTAAGGCTTTGCCGAAGTAACCGAAGCGCGGTGTAAAATTAGAGGGTGTGAAATTATCGAAAATAGGGTGTAGTGCTTTGTATTATAAATTAGACAAAACAAGAACAGATTCCAAAAGACTGGCAATTTGTTACATGTGGAATGAAACTAATGAGAGGGTTGCTATAAAAGGACCAGAACAAGGTTGTAAAGTGGAATGAAGAGAACAGTCAATAAATTGTTACACACAAAAACTATGAATGCTCGCAATAAAACGCATGTTATTCCATTAGCGTCACGCCTTCTATAACAAAGCAAGGATTGGCACAAGTTTACGTGAGGCATAACGAACACCACCGGCTGATAACTGTAGAGGAAGAGTGCACGATGTTGTGCAGATTTGTTGATTCTGCCTGCATCCCTTATTATAAAACAAAGACTTTCCCCCTTTTCGTGTTTGACACTTCAGGTCATACCCTAAAGTCCTTTCAAGCAGAGCAGAACCAACACGAGATCCTATACAGAGTCATTACACCTTGGTAGGATATATCTGACACTCAATGACATGCTCAGACGTTAGCATTTCATGGCAAGGATCTGCAGCAATCTGCAGTCTTAGAGGGCATAAAACTTGAACACATTCTCCGCTGCATAGGCGGGTCCTCGCGTTCCTCGCCTGGTGCTAGTGCCACTCAAAAATTGGGGGGCCCTGTTGTTACCTCGAGCCACTGTTTGGGACGTCAATGGAGGAGCAGCTGGTGGCTGCAATCCCTGTGGTGCCCCAACTTGCCCTCTGTGCCTTGGCCACACGTGGTAGGTTGACCCAGGAATGAGCAGCTTCTTGGGAGAAACCTTCCTGAATCCTGCCACTGAAAGAAATGTTACAAGGTCATGATTAGAAAAGTCAGTGAGCACTTGGCGTGCAGTGATTGTTGAGTGGGTGTGATAGTATCGAAGAGTGTTCTCAGGAAGGACGACCACAATGGGGCTGCTCGAGTCCGGAATACAGCGGCCGTCCGAAATCCCAGTATTTTGAAAGCCCGAGAACGAAATTTCAGGACCCACAAAGACGAGCTGCAGGCGTCCTTGTGACTTTGAGTCATGATTTTGAAGATTTGTTGTGCAGGAATGCTAGCTCTATGGATCATGGCGAGAGCTTGGACTTGCGGCTAAATGACAGGCACATATCCTCTGAAAGCTAGGATTGAGATGTGTAAGACTCTTCAAACTCGTAATATAACTCTGTTCTAACTCTCCATTCAGGAAGAACGGGCTTCTCAGATGGTTGAAACTTGAAACATTGTTGTGGAGGGTGTGAGCGCCGCTTTGTCACAAAGTTTTGTCACGGTGACAGAACTTTGTGACGGGGAAAAGTTGCATGTATCGAATCGAATGCCCCTCCCTGTCTTCGTCCATGTTAGAATTCCACTCGTATGTCAATGGCAGGGTGGGTCGCTTCAAACGCGTAACGAATCCAGCCTTCAGCAAAATACGAGTGATTGTGTGAGTAATACAGTGCCAGTTCGCGTGGCAATCATTTGACCTTTCTCCAGAAGCTTCGTCGAATGCGGTGCGGTCGTATTGGCGGTGTGCGGCGAGCGACGTTGGTTGATGCCAAGAGATGATCCACGATTTGGAGCAATGCTGGGCCAAGTGACAAGCTTAGCGAGATTGAGAAACACTGGGCCCACATGTCGGAAGCGGAGACTGGCAGA